TTTCGTTGTCAGTCCCACCAAAAATGGCTTTTCGTCAGAGCCGTTTCCCACATCTGGTCTGCCGTGTGCGTCACGCTTCCATCCGAACGAAAATGGTTTCGTGTCTGAGACCGTCGGACCATACGCCAATTGCTCGATTTGGCTCAGGATTTCGTCATAGTCGTCATTGCGGTGGAGATTCTTCTTTGAATAGCTGCTGACGAACCATTGCACTTGACGCCGCGTCGGTATCTCCTTCTCCGTCGGCCCAAACCGCCGTGCCATTCCATTGCGAATCTGAGCCGGCTTCAACCCTTGAGTTGCCATTTCACGGCCGTAGTCCTTGAGTCGAGGGGTCATCTTGGGTTTTTGGGGCTCCCTCACCAGCGTCTCGTGAGTACCGGTCTCCGTGATCGTCACGCGGTTCAAACCTTGGCACGTAAGCACCTTCCACTTCCACAGACACTCGTCATACGGTGCTGCTTCCTTGCATGTTTCCGAGGAGCACTTCAGCAGTTGGTAACGCATCTTGTGTGGCTTGGTCAGCGCACACACGACGCATGGAACCAGCTGGCTCTTGACAACGATGAATACCTTCATGTCTTCCATGAGCAGCTGGGAGTCCTCACGAGCCATGTCGCTACAGACAGTTGTCCACATGGTCGTCGTGGGCATCTTTCGTTGAGAGAGGGGAGGGAGGGAGGAGTCCAAAGTTCAGTGTTTTGCTGGATGAAGGCTGTTAGGAAATGGCTTTAAAGACGGTGATTGGCTCAGTCACTGTCTTAACTAAGGTCGTGATTCGCTAATATTGAGTGGTGTGTAGACACCCGAGTTTGGTGTGTTTTGACCAATGCAATTGTGCCACACGTATGGATGGTGTGGTGTGACGTGACATTGATGTGCACCACGTACATTGTATGTGTTCTCTCATTTTCTGTGTGTAAAACCTTAGTTCTGTGTGTTTTACCGGTTCTGTCCATCTGTAATACTTCAGTCTCCTTCTTCATTATCATTGGCTAAAATTGTACAGTTGATACGCTAGGTAACTAAATATTTACATCCATGCACTTTGAACGAGGAATATTATAGCTAGAATTGATACTCTAGGTAGCTAAACGTTTACTAGCACGTACTCAAAGGACGCAATTGGACTTGTAGAAACAACGCACGCTTTTACCATTTCATACAGTGCAGCCGATCCTCTTGGTAGTAATTCCTAGAAATGGAATACTCCCTCAACAGCAATAAATTAGCTGCTCCCGTTGACCAGTCTCTTACAAACCCAAGATATTATTCCCTCTCACCCCTCAACCGTAAAATGGAACACATTTGAAGTCAAATATTCCTATTCTGGGATGCTTAACCATGGAAACAATTCCAAGAGCATTATTGCTGCCACGTCCGATCCGAATGTTGAACCGATGAAACCTATTCTTCTGACTACTTTGAATGTGACTCGATCTTTAGGATCGCGGAGATGCGTTCTGCCTTCCCCCCTCATCCGCGACGGTGACACCCTTCTCTTTGTACCAGGAGACTCAACTGGCAAGGAGCTTGCCGCGTTTTGGGTGGATCACCGCGTGCCGCAGTTTTGTTGCCAACTGCGAGACCGGAAGTGAGTTCAGTGCTTTTCTGCGCATTGACAACTACCAGATCATTACTTGTGGTGGAACCAGAGGAATATCGTAGATTCTGTGGCCCGGTGAATCTAGCTCTGTTTTGGACAAATAGGGATTTGAGTAGGCGCTAGCATATTTGTACAGCAGTCGTTGAGTATTAGTGAGTGTGATGTGGACTGGCTGGGCTAGAGAGGAGGGTATCTTGGTGTAGTAATGCACATCTGGCAATAGGAGGGCAAAACAGGGTGATTCGCCAGTAACGAGCTAAGCTGAAGGTACTCGGATCCATTTTTATGGTACACTCTATGACTACCGAGGGGATCGTCTGTACTTGTAGGACGTATCATTTTGACCAATCCTGGTCCAGGATCGTGGCTTCAACGAACTCATCAAAAGTGCGTGGACATTTTCCGATCTTCTCCCGAAGCACCAGAGGTCTTCATTCCCACCCAAGATGCCGAACCTCTACGTAGGCACATACACCCGCAAGGAAGGCCACGTGGATGGCCACGCCAAGGGCATCTACTCCTACTCGTTCGACGATGCTACGGGTGCCTTGAAGCTGCTCAAAGTGACTGAGGGCGCGGGTATCAACCCGTCCTACGTCTTTGGCACCAACTCGACGCTGTACGCCGTGAACGAGAGCAACGAGCCGTCCCAGCTGCATCCCGGAGAGGAGACGGGCTTCATATCTGCTTATAAGATGGAAAAAGACGGCGGGCTCACGCAGATCAGTCGCTATGAGACCGGCGGGGCTTACACTTGCCACGTAGCTCTCAGTCCCAACGGAGACTTCGTATCCGTGGCTAACTACGGCGGCGGTAGCCTCTCGCTCTACCCCGTGAACGCGGACGGCTCGCTTGCCCCTGCGTCGGACCACCACCGCTACGAAGGCGCAAGTATGGCCATCCCGGAGCGTCAGGAAGCCTCGCACATCCACAGCACGGCGTGGACGCCAACGGGCCTCCTTGCGGCTGACTTGGGCACCGACCGTCTTGTGCAGTACAAGCTGGACGCGGACAATAAGAAGCTGGTGGACGAGGAATTCATCACGCGTCCTCCTGGCTCTGGTCCGCGTCACTTGGCGCTCTCCCCGGAGCTCGGCGTGGGCTACGTCATCAATGAGCTCGACAACACGGTGGGTGTGTACCCGCTGGACGCCAAGACTGGCAAATTAGGCCACGAGGCGCTACAGAACATCTCGACGGTGCCCAAGGACTACTCGGGCCCCGCGCCACTGGCGTCGGACATCCACATCTCGACGAACGGCAAGTTCGTGTACGCGGCCACGCGCTTCTGCCACAGTATCGCCATCTACAAAATCTTGGCCGATTCACGTCTCGAGCTGGTGGAGATCCTCCCCACGCGTGGTGAGACGCCGCGCGACATCCTCCTTTACAAGGACTTTGTGCTGGCGGTTAACCAAGACACTAACAGCATCGACGTCTTCCGAGCCGACGGCGAGACCGGCAAACTCACGTACACGGGCAACTCCATCGACTGCCCGTCGCCGTCGTCCATGTTCATCGCGCAGTAAATTTCCTGCTTAGAGAGTCGTAAGATCCGCTAATCGTTAATGGATTCTCTATTTCACGTACTTAATCGAAAACATCTTTAAAATTACAGATCGATGCCAGGTGTGGCGCTGGTGACCGGCGGCAGTCGCGGCATCGGCTTCGCCGTGGCTCAGCAGCTCCATCGACGTGGCTGGCAGGTAGCAATCACCTCTCGTGACTTAGAGCGAGCTCAAAAAGCGGCGCAGAAGATCTCTCCGGACGTGCTGCCTTTGGCGTACAGCTGTCCGCGTCGTGGCGAAGGAGATGCTAGTGTTGAAGCGACTCAGTTGGTGGCGCAAGTGTCCAAGGAACTGGGCACTGGTCCGTCAGCTCTTGTGAACGCTGCGGGGATCTCCAAGGACAGTTTACTACTACGACTCAAAGATGCAGAGCTGGACGAGCTGCTGCTTACGAATCTGGTGGGGCCGGTGCACATGTGCAAGGCGGTGGCTAAAGGAATGATGCAGCGGCGTCAGGGCAGTATTATCAATATCGGTAGCGTCGTGGGCGCAGCGGGGAATGTCGGACAGGTGGCTTACAGTGCGTCCAAGTCGGGGTTAGCGGGTGTCACTAAGTCACTGGCCAAGGAGTTCGGTAACCGTAACATCCGCGTCAATCTGGTGGAACCTGGCTTTATCTCCACGGACATGACGGATACGATGGTGGACGCTGCACGAGAGCGCGTCCTTGGGAACATCCCATTGGCTCGATTCGGCAAGGCTGACGAAGTTGCGCATCTTGTGGCGTTCCTGGCGAGTGATGAGGCATCCTACATTACAGGACAGTGCATCCGTATCGACGGAGGACTGGTCATTTAGAGCACAAATACGGTATCAATTACGGTCATTGTAGAGTAGAGTACCGTAATTAGTAATTATCGCAGACTGGACGCGAAATGTGTAGGTGGTCTGGACTCTGTAGCAGTCTTCTACATCATGCAGGGTTAAACAAGAATTTGTGATGTTCTAGTGGCCCTCATCGCTGGTTATTTACCTTGTCGGATGGACGAAATGCGAGTACAGATGGGTGTGCAGCCGACCTCCGCTGATGGCCAAGCTGTGCTTCGTTGATCTCCTTGTTTAGCCAGGTGATCACTGCATCAACAACGTTTATATATCAGCAATTTAATGAAAAGACATGAGGTGTTTGAGAGCCTACCTTGCTGGTTGGATGCCAATAGTTTGTTGCTGTCCTCCAGTTTCTGACTCAATTCCTTTATTGTATCCTGTAATGACATTAAAAAAGTGAGACCCTGGACACTCCGACAATGTTTATTCGGTCTCGAACCTTCAGCTGTAGGATATGCTCGTCTCGCTTTCGAATATCTTCCTTGGTCGATTTCAACTCTAACAACGCTTCCTCGCGCTGAAGCTGCTTCTCCTCAACAAACTGGCGATAGAGATTTGTCTCTAAATTAGAGTATGTCCAATCACTAAAATCACTCAGCCATCGTACCTGCTCTTGTTGCTTGATAATCTTGGCTTTCATCCGCATCTTGGACTTCAACGAACGGTTTTCGTTCTGTATACGCTCAATGATCTCGTTTCCCTACAAAACCCAACACCGTAAAAAAAAAAAAAAAACGTAACGTATCCTCTAATCCCTAAAATCCCGTATACTGCTTACCTTGTTGATCTCCGAGATACTTAACTCGAGCTTCTGTTGCAGCTTAGCATGGTTGTCCCGGTACATTTTCAATGACTCATCAACTTCTTCGTTGTGCGTTTTAGCCGACTGCAACAGATCTGTCGTCTTCTTGATCACTTCCTCCTTATCCGCCAGCTGCTGCTGCAGTGCGTCCACACGGACCTGCAACGCGTTGATCTGCTTCTCCTGAAGAAAAACTTTTTGGTCCAGCTCTTTATTCTGCGTTCGAAGCTCCCCCACTTCTCCTGAGAGCGCACTTCTGCCCTGGCTGAGGTCCTCGGACTGCGTTCGCAAGTGCTCAATCTGCATCTCATGCTGGTACTTAAGCTTGCTCAAATCCTGCACCTGGGCCTCACTAGCTTCCGCTGCCGCCTTCAGTGCTTGAAGCTACCCACAACAGTAGTAATTAACCCCTTACTACTATTTAAAAAAAATAAGTATTAAACCCACCTCCTTCTCGTATCTCTCCACCAACGCGTCAATTTTAGCGTTCAGTTCTTCTTCACGCTCTTTTAACGCAGACGCCGCAGCTCTGCGTTGCGCTTCCAATTCGTCCGCAAACTTCATTTTCTCTTGGGAAAGCGTCGACTCTGCTTCGTAACCCAGAGCTGACAATTGTTGCTGCAGCTTGGCCTCGTTGTTCTGCGTAACCTGCAGCTCCTGGGTCGTCTGCTTTAGGGACGACGCCAACGAGCGTCTACTCGCTCCCACCTGCGCTAATCGCGCTGCAAGATACGCCTTAATAGCTGCGTCGTCTCCAGGGGAAAACCTTAACGACAGATGCGTCAACTGCTTGAACGGATTCGTCTCCACTATACTAAACACCGACAATCCGTTGCTATCCGAAGTGCTCAGCACTGCCAAATAGCTGGGGAAATCATAAAAATAATAAGTTAACCTCAAAATCCGTTAAAAAAAAAAATTATATGGGTCGACTCTCACCTTAAAGGTATTGGTCCAGCAGATCTGCTGTGTTGAGCGTCAATAGAGCTCCTCTTAGTTGCTGTATCGCCTTCTTTTTCAGCTGAAATTCCATCTTTTTGCTCTTTTTCTTCGTCCTCTAGCGCGATCTTCTTGCTGTCTTTAAGACAGCACTGTAGCAGCTCAATGAGATTGGCCGGGAATGTGGCAAAGTCCACTAAAAGTCTCTGTTGCGCCTTGAGTTCATGAAATTCCTCCTCAGAAACGCTCCAGAGATACAGAAAATACGGATCTACACCGTCATCGTCAGTGATTTCCACGCGCATCACGCGTTCCTTCTGGTTTTTGGCGTTATTTTGCTGCGGAGACGAATTATATCAAGAGAAATTATCATTCGTCGGGTACTTGTGGAAGAGAGAGTAGGCGGCACGTACGCGCACGCCCGTGAGCAGGCGGGTAGTGAGCGGTAGCAGCTTCTCGTCACGGTCCGGGTACTGCACCAGCACGTGAAAGCGCCGGTCGAAGAGCGGAGCCTCCCGGTCGTACTCCTCCATTTTGAAATTGAATTTTGGATTCGGCGCCAAGAGAGTTGTTGATCATTGGCTGATACTCCAAATACGCTTGAGGAGCATTTTTACTGCAATAAATTACCGACTACTAACTGTAAGTATGATGAATGAACGGTAATCTATTGATTTAAAAATTTTGAAAAGCAGAAAATGTATCTACACGAGGAAATGCTACTTTCTAGGCAAGCAGCAGATATTTAGTAGTTGCTCCGCAGACGGCGAGTGGTAGCGACACCAGCCGATAGGTTGGCATCAGCATCAACTCTGGCCCCAGCCGAGAGTCCAGCGTCGGCATCGACGTTAGCACCAACGCCGACGTTAGCTCCACGGCGAACGTTACCGCCATGGCCAGTGTTAGCACCACGCCCGACATATGCGCCGAGGCCGACGTTTGCACCAACGCCAACGTTAGCGCCACGGCCAGTGTTAGCACCAAGGCCGACATTTGCGCCGAGGCCGACGTTTGCAC